TCTTGTCTACCTCTCATCATGTTCTTTCATTTGACCCCTTGCCTTAAATGAATTCGCAGAATGAAAGGTTTATCCAAACAATTGCCCAATTTCTTCCACCAAAAAAGAAATCATCTTAAAAATTGGGAGGAAAATTTGGTGAGCTAGAAATGTATGAGATAGATTGAATTGGATTTTTCGATGGAAGAACGTGTATTTAGACATTTGATTTCATTGTTTATTTATCGTTTTCCTTTTGTTTTGCTTCTTGTTTGATTTTTTTAATTATTTGACAGAGGAAATGTTTTTAACATTGAAAGTTAGGGGCTGAAATTTTTGGGTTAAGAAAAGGAAGGCAAAAGATGATGATTGCATTGATTATGACAATGATAATGAAGACATAAAAGGAGCTTTTGGGAACACCTTTTTTTTTGCTGAAAAAAAAGGAAGAGTGGGAAAAAGTAAGAGACTATTTTATGTTTAAGACGGTTTCCTCCAATCATCTTTTCATTAGCTGTTCGTCCAACACTGATTGTCAGTGGATCAATTGGAACAATGGAGCTTCCATGATCACTGTGGACTTGTTTCAAGTTATATTCAGTTTTCTGTTTAATTATTTTCCCTATTGTTATCCCATCAATATGTGATTTCTATGCTAAATCTTCTTGTTTTTGTAATATAAGTAATTAATTTCTAATATTTTAAACTGTTGGGATTTAATATTAATGTAAGCCTTCCCTGTTCTGTATTGGTTTCGTTCCCCATTTTCTAACATCCTTATATCTCTTGGACAGGTATTGAGGAACAAAGGGGACATGCTTTAACAACCAGACATTCAAACCTTGATCAAGTTGTTTCATTTGCTGCAGAGCGGTATTAAAGATGCTCAACAAACTGTATGTCCTAAAGCCCTTTCAAGCATTTTTCAAGATTTTTAAATTTCAGAAAAGCTAATTGAAAGGTCTCATATTGTGTTTGCTTACCTGGACTGATTTAATGGCAAAAGATGGGATAATGTGATGAGAAGTAATGGCAAGAAGCTATTTTAATTAAACACTTGCTGCGCTTAAGTGTAATTTATAGAGGGTAAATTGCCAATTTATCATTTGGTTTAATGGACACTACCCTTGTCCTCTAGCACACTTGAAATGGTGTGGGACAGTCCAACTTAAGCACTTCCAACCTTAAATTTTATGATCAACAACCTTTATGTCGCCATGATTTTACATCTAATGTGAAAATTATGGCAGGTGAGCATTTTTTTTTATTTTTATTTATTTTTTTTAAGAAAGGAAGAAGCAAGGAGCTATTTATAACACAAGCCGCTTCTTAGTGTGATTGATAGAAGGGTAAATGCAATTTCAATGGTTAAATGTCACTACCTTGTCCACTTTGGCCCTGAAATTTAATGGTTTGGGACGGTCCACCTGCATCTGTAAGCCATCTTCTTCGCAACCTAAAATTTTATTATCATAAACTTTTGGTCCCTTGATTTACATCTAATGGAACGTGGGATTCTTTTTGTAACCTCTTTATCACTTGAATGTTTTGGTCATCATTGTGTATCAATCCTTTCATTTTGGGTTTGTCCTTCGCCCTAGAATGAATTGATTGTTTAATAAAGCAATACAAACAAAAACATGCGAGTAAAGGATAGAGGCTTTTTTAATCCAGCTTACCCTGAACTGAATAATATTATAGGTAGCATATGCTCTTGAATGAATGGATGCCACAGTCCACCCTAAATTACTCTCTTTCTCCCTCGTCTTCCCTATGTGTATCTCTCTCTGTATAGAGCAAGGATAAACTTATATTTGAATGAAGGATGGAAATTTTTTTGTTTCGCCATTTTCCAATTGAAAAAAGAACTAGATTCTGGTTTTTAATTCTTTAAATTTTCCCTTCTCTTATAGCTCCATTAAGTTGTACAGAGGCAATCAGAAACGTGGAGGTAGAACTAATGCCAAGAATTTGAATAATGGAAATAAAGGAGATTAAATAATTGGACAAAAAGACTTTAGTCTGGTTTCAGGGCTGTACATTTTTTGTTAAAATGTAATCTACCCTTCTCTTCTCAAAAACGCATCAGTATTCATTGGCCATGCTTGGTTTTTAAAATTTCATGAATTTCAGTTTAAACAATGGATTTACTGCTTGTTGTAAATATGAACCTGGGTTTGGGGTAATTTGACTGGAGACATAACTTTAAACAGTATTAGAAGTACAGCTACTGATCTGAATTTGAGGATCCATGAGTTGCTTTATTTCTAATTTTAGATGACATGCTATACCAATGGTGTTTTTCCTTTTTTCATTTTTTTTTGGTTTTGATGCAAGAGCAAAGTTTCCAGAATTTTTTAGAAAGTTGCACTTCCATGTTTAATGTATGGATTTCACTGTTTCATGAATACTATATGAAATTTTCACATTAAGAATAATTTTAATCAAAGTCAAGAACTTTATTTAGAATAGTTTTTGAATCCTTTGTATTAGGAATTTATTATAAACTTTTGTTCTGGTTTAATATTTATTCTTTTTTTCTATTATGATTTGGTAATAAAAGATCTTTACTTTAAAAGCGGGATTGTGTGCTTTATTATAAATTAGGGGTTTATAATGTTCGGTTTTGAAGTAAGAATTTCAGATTTTTGAGCCAATGATAAAAAACTGGTTCTCGGTTATTATGCGGCAAGAATGTTTTTTTCCTCAATTCTGCAGGCAGAGTTGCAAGCTATTTTGATATCTGTTCCTCTCATTTCAATTTCTCTTTGTCAAGTTTTAATCTATTTAGGTGCAAGGATTGTTTTGCTATACCACTACTTAAGAACCATTGGAATTTTTTCAATTTTTTTTAAAAAATGCATCTTGATATGAAATTTTAATACAAATGCTTATTAGCTTTTGAATTTATATCAATGCCAATGTTAATCTAGTAATTTAATTTTAATTTATGGAAATGGTTTTCTTATTCCTTTTCTTTTTTTGGCAACACAACGAGGGGAGAAACCTGCATAATCTGTCCCTCCTAAAAGCCCATAATGTAGGAAGTCCCTTGTACTAAGCCTTCTAATCTGAATAAACATTCCAAATAGAAGTCATCTGTTTATTCAAAATTTCTTGACAATAAAACCTTACAAAGTTTCATCACATTGGGAAAACAATATGATGAAATTTATTGTTCTTCTTTGTAAATATATTCTGATCAGACAGTTTTTTGGAAAGTATTTTTTGGAGTAAATATATTTTTCTATTATTGAAATTGTGTTTCAGTTGAGAAGGCAATTTGTATTATAGTAGATTGTGTTGCAATTATAATTAGGAAAAAACATGTATGTCTTTGTTTTATAAATTTTGTATTCTAATTGGAATTCCAACTAACTCTGTAGCTAAACACTTTTTATCATAATTACCACCTCCTAAACTACCAACTGCTAGCCTTTCGACTGTAGCAACGACTGGTAATTGCTGTGAGTGCCTCAATAAAGAAGGTAACTCACAGCAAGTAATAGGAACATTTTTTGGCATTCGTCATTTTTGAAAATTCAATACATGCTAGATCAACCATGTTGCATTTGGGCTATGGGGGTATACACCTTGAGAATGTTTTCCTGGTACTGACTGAACGGGGATGGTTTCATCACTCCATGGATTGTTAAACCTGGAAGTGGAGTGTATTTGTACATTGGCTGGAAACGTTGCATAAACATCTGACTGGGAAGGGAGCGCTTTAATAAAAATATCCCCAATTAATTTTATGAGGTTTTCTTGTGTGCATATGTCCATTTTTAGTTAAAAATTTATGTAAAGTTCCTGGAGTAAATTAATGGTACCACTTGACTATCTATAACTTTATTAAATTAAATTTGTCCTGTTTCCTCCTTAGATGTCAAGCTTTGAAATCCGCCAACAAGGAGTTGAAAGGAAAATGATGAAAACTGTGAAGAATTCCAGACATAGATGTATGTGGATCTCATGCTTCCCTTACTCCCTCTGCTTTCATGTTAAGTTACCTTTGGGAAATTTATGGTGCTAATAGTTACTTTTTGCAATTTTGTAGAACTTGCAAGAACGAGATGATGGGACCTAATGGACGTGAGTAATGAAATCCCAAGAGACCCTCGGTAGAGCTACAATGTGCCTGATGATGATTGATGAGGGAAGAACTCATGGAGGTTAAGCTTCAAAAATTTTCATCTAAGGTCATTCTGGAATAATTTGTTTTTTGAGCATGTAGAAAATTAATATTTTGATCTTTACCTATTTATTTTAATGTTCTTGTGAGAAGCCAGAGTAAACTTCTTATTCAAATAATCTGTAATTATTGAATTATGTTCCGCATTGGTAGACAAAGTAATCGTCAAATGCCATCCGTCAGCAGCTTTAACAGTTTCTTTTCCTTGTTCTTCTTCTTCCCTTCTCCTTCCTTCTTCTTCCTTCTTCCTTTCTTCTCCCCTAAATGGGATCATTTTTAAATTGGACAATCCATGCAATTAAATTTGGGAAGAGAATGTTCCATGTGTTTGATATATCATGTTAATTTAATGCTGAATTAAATTTTGCAATGCAGAACTTGAATGGCTCTGGAGGCAGACATGGAATGGAAACCGAGGCTGATGGTGTTCCTTCTTATCCTGCAACTGATAAGGAAACCTGATCTGGATGCAGAACTCAACTTGCATCAGCACCCACAGGAAATTGCTTAGCCAGCTCCGGCTGGTAGAAATAATGCTCTGGTAATCCTCATATGTTAGTTTTATCACCTGTGTTTTATATTTTTGTTTCAAGAATGAATAGGGCACTCTTTGGTTGGAGTGCCTGCCAGATACCATTCTGTTGGTTATTGCAAGGCATGTGTAAAAGTATAGCATGACGTATGGATTTTTCATAGTTTTGAACTTTGTTCGTGTAAAAATCTTGCTGATATGGAAGTTCTGCATAGTGGCATGAGATATTATTATTATTCTAGCAATTGCTTGTTTCCCTGTCTAATTTCCTACCTGGGAATGTTCGGTGCTCGACAGGCTGAGGATGAACTAGGTTTACCTGCTGTCCCCCCGGGCATCCATTCTGGTTAGGGAACTCCTTTGGTGGGTGACTGATGTTGTATGTATATCTAATGGAAGGAGCAAGGATGAGCCAAGCCTTGCATAACATGTGCATAATGCTGCTTTGATTTTGATTCTGGTGATTCAGTGGGTAACTTGGGCGTTGGTTTATTTTATTGAATTTTTTAATTATTTTTTCTTTAACTATTTTCTTTAGCTGGTGGGGATTTTTTGGTGAACAAAGGAAACGTTTGACAAATGTCAACTTGAAATATCTAGTGATGAAATCTACATTAGTGTGCAGTCCATTTTATTTAGGAATTATACCACGTGACGAAATCTATATTCAGTGGTGCATATATATTATATTATATATATATATAAAGGTGCAATAAAAAATATTTATGTTTCTTGGTTTAAATTGTTTCAATATTTCCAATTGCCTGTATGAGGATGAACAACGGTGGAGAAAGTAACAATCAAAATACACAAGATACGCACGCGGGATGCAGTTTTAGACGAAAGAGGACCTCAATTCAGTCGATCTGAAAGAAATTTAACTAAGTTTATATATTTAAAGTTAAATAAAATAGAAAATGCTTGTGTTGACGTCCGGGTCCTAATTTCAAGGTCCAGACAATGGTCTGATTGGCAAAGTTTGGAAAGACATAATAAGTTTTCGAAAACTACCAAGGCCGTTTTAGGCTTAAAATGCATTTTTGTAATTATTATAACAAACCATGGAATTCTTATATGTGGGGAGCGAATTTACTGCAATACAAATAATTATCGAATTGCTCATCTATTCCAATTCATCCTTAAACCCATTTTTTTTTTTTCACTTTTAATTTCTTATGTTTCTCAGAATTTTTCTGAACTCTTCTTATTGTCCATCTGGTTTTTTTTTTTTTTTTTTTTAGAACTAATAGGTCCATTGTCTATTATCCACCTTATCTGAAAGCACTCTTGATAAATGCAGGTACAACAAATCTAAAACCACTAATTTCAGATTGAACAGACTTTTTTGAACACGCATGATGGAATCGTTGAGGGGTTTGTTAAAAATATTAGGACGCTTGATAAAAATTGGATCGGTAGCTTTGGTATATCCAAGTTTTGGATAATTTCATGTGTTCGGCCAAAGGCTTAAGTGATTTTGGCCGTTTAAAGTGTAGTAAAAAAATAAGGAAGCTTAGAATATAAAAAAATAGATTTAGAGAGAAAGGTTAGAACAAAATAAAGAAAGCATGAGAACAAAGGCCAAATATAAAAGCATAAATGTAACAATAAATGAATAAAAAATAAAGCATAACAAGCAATTAAATAAAATAACTTTGTAAGAAATGAAAAATAAAGGATAGTAAATGTAAGAATGATAGAATATATTATTTGAGTTAAATTCTAATCTAAAAGCATGGAATCAAGTTCCAAGCGCTTTAATGTTTCTTTCTTTTGAAGGTTGAACAAATTATCATTATCACTATTTAATTCATGCCTTCTTATTGATTGATGAATCTTTAAACCCTTGGAACAACTATTTTAGGACCTTTAAGG